GAAATTTTCTGTTCAGCTCTTTGACATCATCATATCTTCTGTGTGCCTTAGCTCTCTGGGAGTAAGAGCAAGTTTCAGAGCCGCTTCTGACATCCACTTTGGTCTCTCTCTTCCTCCCTCCCTTCCTTTTCTTTCTTTTTAATGACTTTCTTCATATACCAGCTTCATGTCATTGCATAGCTCATCAGGTCTTCTGTCATTAGGTTTAATCCATCTGTATCCTAGGTATCAGAGCTGAAATGGACTGATATTGGCCATCTTGAATCGACAATCATACTATGCGAGAATGACAAATTCTAACATCACGTTCATTGGCAAAAGGAGTCTTAGCTAAAACTAGTGATGAAGAAACTGGAGAATTCTACCAACTCTTTCAGTCTGAAATTGATCAAACATCCAATCAAGATGTATTAGTAATTATTGACGATTGGAATGAAAAAGTGGGAAACAAAGGAACAGTAGTTGGCCAAGGTGATAGAAATGAAGTTAGATGATCACCTGATAGAATTTTGCAAGGCCAGTGACTACCTTTTCAAACAACATTAACAGCAATTATGCTTGCAGACCTCATCTGGTGGAGAGGTGCACAGAAATCAAATTGACTACGTCTGTGGAAAGAGACGCAACAATTGCTGCAACAAGGGGCTCAAGTATAACAACAGTTGTGGGATATCACAGGATTTCCGAAGGGACGAAAATGCCAACTCGTAGTGCTTTGGACTTTGTCCAACCAGGTCAGATGTCAATCCAGCTTTCTGTTTCTGAAAAGATAGCATGACAGTGTGAGACAAAAAAGGCCTGATTTGTGGCAGATGAGCGTACTGGTTTTGCCACCACGACACCACAGCCATCTCAGTGCGCCAGTTTTTGGCAAAAAAACAAACAAAAACAAACAAAAAACATGCCTTTCTTGCCCATGCACCTGGCTCACGTGACCTCGTACCATGTGACTTCTTTTTTGTTTCTGTGAATGAAGCGCGACATGAAAGGACAGCAATTTGACAATGTAAAAGCGGTGGAAAAAAAAAGAGGGTGGTGCTGTCAGCCACCCAAACAGATGAGTTTGAAAAATGTTTCCGGGAGGGTGGGTTGGAAAGGGGGAACAAGGATCTACATATAACCTCCTCCCTGGGGGACGGGCAACAAAAAAGTGGGTGAAGGGAGACGTCGGACAGTGTAAGATATGACAAAATAATAATTTGTAAATTATCAAGGGTTCATTAGGGAGGGAGTGGGGTCGGGAGTGGGGAGGGAGGGGAAAAAATGAGCTGATGCCAGGGGCTTGTTTTGAGAATGATGAGAGCAATGAATGTACAAATGTGCTCTACACAATTGATGTATGCATGGATTGTGATAAGAGTTGTATGAGACCCTAATAAAACAAATATAAAATAAAACTAAATTAAAAAAAGAAAAATGTTTCCAAGAATGGAGCTGTAGGTTTGACAAATGTGTTCAGTGTAAATCAGCTTTGAAGGTGATAAGGTTGTTTTGTAAAAAAACAAGCAAACAATTAAATACAAAGCTTTTGGGGGGAAATAGTCCAGTGTTTTGGGGAGGGTACTCCCTTGATATGTTCTTTTTACCTGTTAAATTCAATCAAGTAAAGTTTCTTAACAGTGTGGAAATGGTAATCATTGAAAAATCATAAATTGAGAATGAAGAGTGCAACGAATGTACAAATGTGCTTTACACAATGGATGGATGGATGGCTTGTGATAAGAGTTGTATGAGCTCCCAATAAAATGATTTAAAAAAAAAAAGAAATCATATAAAAACATGCTTCTCACTGCCATCAAGTCTGTACCAATTCAAAGCAACCGCCAAAGGGCAGGACAGACCCACCCCCTGGGTTTCTCAGACGGTACCTCTTTACAGGGGCAAAAGCCTCATCTTTCTCCCAAACATGTGCTTGACGATCCCTAAGGTGACCACTTCTCATGGTCTCCTGTGTACCAGTGTAGAATTGTTTCATAGTGCTGTCCTGACT